ATTAAAATAAAATTTTAGCAATTAAACAATCTATGCAAACTTCATAGCTATTTGTAGAACTACACTAAGTACTTAAGACTTCATTAGCACCTTTCGCATCTATTTAGACTATTATACTAAGAAAGTTGAAAATTTGCATATACCTTCGACAAGGACTTTCTACATACATACATATGTACATACATACTTATACCCAAAACTCTTGTAAATGCCTCTGCGGAGTTGTTTTCAAAATATAACACAAACACACAGTCTCCAAGTGTTAACTCTGCACCCATTTGACTCTCTAAAATTTATGTTTTTGTACAAAAATTGCGTCAATTATTAAGTAATGAAAAAATTATATTATACACACATGCATTAAATACGTATGTATGTATGCGTAAATGATAAAAAAATCTGAAATAATCATAATATATACTCGATTTTATAATTTGTTAGGCTTCGGCTGTTAATCGAAAAATAGTTTCAATTGCAAATAATCTGCCATAATCGGACATTCACATGAAATATTTCCATGCAGGAGTTGTTAAGAGTTAAATTTTTTTAATTTTATAATTGCGCTAAACTCCATTACATACATACGAATTCCTTATTTATAAATGACTCCGTCGTTTACACGAGTATTAAGAAACGCATGCATGAAAGAAATTTGCTTGGGTTATTTTAATCTTTATAATTTTCATTACAGGTTTCCTCTTTCTTTATTTTTTTTTCTATTTATTTCTTGCATCAGTAGCGTTAGGCTCTGTGTGACATTTTTACTATTCACAGTATTCACGCATAAATCTCAGCTACGAACCATGAAGTTTTATAAATATTGGTTTGAGCATTTGTAAACTCGTCATCAGTTGGTTTTGCAATAAAAAAAAATTTGTATATTAATATTTATTAGATTTTTACATATCCCTTACGCAATTACTTACATTAATACATACTTATACATATACACTAGGTGACAAATGAAAGTATACACCTTATTCTAATATAATATTCACAATTATGATCATGAAAAATGGTTTACAATCATTATTTATGAAAATATAATTCAATCTATAATATAAACCATATAAATCAAAGTTTCACACTTTTTAAGTTCACAAAAATTCAATAAATGTTTATCAAAATTTTCAGCTTTTCATACAGAATTTCTAGAAAGTTTTCAATTATTACATTTTGTAGCCCATGCAATTTTGGTCTAATGAAATGCAAGTTTAAAACGGCTAAAAAATCCCGTTGATTTCTGAGAATTTTTTTTACGAATTTTTGCCCGTTTTTCCGTATAAACAGTTAGCAACAAAATTTCAAAAATTCGTCAGTTTTTGTAAATTGCACTTGGGGTATTCCATGAGTAAGTGAAACTTTGT